TTTGTCAGTTAGGTTGACGGTTGGACAAGATGATCTTTAAGGTCCCTTCCAACCTAGAAGATTCTATGTGCCAGCGCTGCCCTGCTCTCTCCCTGCCAGGGGTGCCTGCGGTGGGTTCGCAGAGGAGCTGCTGGTGGACCCCCCGTGACCAGGGGGTGCTCGGGCCCTGCCACGTGCCAGCGCTGCCCCGCTCTCTCCCTGCCATGGGTGCCTGCGGTGGGTTCGCAGAGGAGCTGCTGGTGGAGCCCCCATGATGAGGGGGTGCTCGGGTCGGTGCCACACACCCCACTGGTTTTCGGGCAGCGCTGGCACTGCAGACAGTGGGGAGAACCTGTTTAGATGGAAGGCCTGCAGTGACAGGACGAGGGGCAATGGCTTCAAGCTGGAGGGGAACAGATTTAGACTGGAGATGAGGAGAGGGTTCTTCACTGTGAGGGTGGTGGAGCACTGGAACAGGTTGCCCAGGGAGGTGGTTGAGGCCCCATCCCTGGAGATATTCAAGGAGAGGCTCGACGAGGCCCTGGGCAACCTGGTCTAGTTGGGGGTGTCCCTGCTGACTGCGGGGGGGTCGGACTAGATGGCCTTTGGAGGTCCCTTCCAGCCTGGGCAATGCTATGATTCTATGATTCTATGACACAGAGTACCTGCCTTTTCAAAAGCTTTTTTGTGTTTCTGGGCTACAACACCACCGTGTTACTGTCTTGACAGATATCCTCGACAACAGCCGTGTTATCAGCGAGGATGGCAAGCAGAAGGTAGGTGCTGGTTTTCCCCCCGTGACCAGGGGGTGCTCGGGTCGGTGCCACACACCCCACTGGTTTTCGGGCAGCGCTGGCACTGCAGACAGTGGGGAGAACCTGTTTAGATGGAAGGCCTGCAGTGACAGGACGAGGGGCAATGGCTTCAAGCTGGAGGGGAACAGATTTAGACTGGAGATGAGGAGAGGGTTCTTCACTGTGAGGGTGGTGGAGCACTGGAACAGGTTGCCCAGGGAGGTGGTTGAGGCTCCTTCCCTGGAGATATTCAAGGAGAGGCTCGACGAGGCCCTGGGCAACCTGGTCTAGTTGGGGGTGTCCCTGCTGACTGCGGGGGGGTCGGACTAGATGGCCTTTGGAGGTCCCTTCCAGCCTGGGCAATGCTATGATTCTATGATTCTATGACACAGAGTACCTGCCTTTTCAAAAGCTTTTTTGTGTTTCTGGGCTACAACACCACCGTGTTACTGTCTTGACAGATATCCTCGACAACAGCCGTGTTATCAGCGAGGATGGCAAGCAGAAGGTAGGTGCTGGTTTTGTAAGCCACTGGCTGGGCTGGCTCCTGTGCCAGCTCTCCAGGCTGTGCCCGGCGGCCAGGACAGAGTGGGGCAAGTGTCTGGGCTGCGTTTCAGCCGGTGGCAACGGAAGGAGAAGTTATTTCTGGGCTACACCACCACCATGTTACTGTCTTCACAGATATCCTCGACAACAGCCGTGTTATCAGCGAGGATGGCAAGCAGAAGGTAGGTGCTGGTTTTGTAAGCCACTGGCTGGGCTGGCTCCTGTGCCAGCTCTCCAGGCTGTGCCCAGTGGCTGGGACAGAGTGGGGCAGGTGTCTGGGCTGCATTTCAGCCGGTGGCAACGGAAGGAGAAGTTAAAAAGGGAAATTTGATTTGCATGCTGAGCTGTGGGCAGTTTCTGTCTGATCAGAGGTGGGGGGTGTGTGTGTTCCTCTGTCCCTGCAAGTGGCTGGGACAGAGTGGGGCAGGTGTCTGGGCTGCATTTCAGCCGGTGGCAACGGAAGGAGAAGTTAAAAAGGGAAATTTGATTTGCATGCTGAGCTGTGGGCAGTTTCTGTCTGATCAGAGGTGGGGGGTGTGTGTGTTCCTCTGTCCCTGCAGCATCTGAGGCCCGGCAAGAGTCACCTGGGCTGCCAAGGGTTAACGTGTCCTCCGGGCTCTCCAGGTTTGCTCAAACTGCAGATACTTAGTGAAAGGGCTTTGGTTGGGCTTTTCCTTAGGAAGTGTGATGCTTTGGAGGAATTCAGAAGTGCTTGTTGTTGTTGTTTACCGTCTCTTGGGAAATGTGATGGTAAGAGTGATGTTCACTCTGTTCTTTTTTCCATCTGCTCCAGCTGAAGGATCTGCTGCACCATTACTA